TGGACATATGTGTCCTCCCAAGTCTAAACCAGGAGGATGCCGAAACTATGAACAGACCAATAAGAAGGTCTGAAGTCAAGGCAGCAATTAAGAGCCTACCACACAAAAAAAGCCCAGGTCCCAATGGGTTCACAGCTGAATTCTACCAGACACACAAAGAGGAGCTGGTACCATTCCTTCTGAAACTATTGCAAATAATCCAAAAAGAGGGAATCCTTCCCAAATCATTTTATGAGACCAACATCATTCTGATACCAAAACCCAGAAGAGACTCAACAAGAAAAGAAAACTTCAGGCCAATATCCATGATGAACATAGAAGCAAAAATCTTCAATAAAATACTGGCAAACCAACTGCAACAGCACATCAAAAAACTTATCCATCATGATCAAGTAGGATTCATCCCAAGGATGCAAGGCTGGTTCAACATACGCAACTCTATAAATGTAATTCACCACATAAACAGAACCAAAAACAAAAACCACATGATTATCTCAATTGACGCAGAGAAGGCATTTGACAAAATTCAACAGACTTTTATGTTAAAAACCCTCAGTAAACTCAGTATTGATGGAACGTATCTCAAAGTAATAAAAGCTATTTATGACAAACCAACAGCCAATATCATACTGAATGGACAAAAACTGGAAGCATTCCCTGTTGAAATCTGGCACTAGACAAGGATGCCCTCTCTCACCGCTCCTATTCAGTATAGTACTGGAAGTTCTAGCCAGAGCAATCAGGCAAGAACAAGAAATAAAGGGTATTCAAATAGGAAAGGAGGAAGCCAAATTGTCTTTATTTGCAGATGACATGATAGTATATCTAGAAGACCCCATTGTCTCAGCCCAAAAACTCCTGAAACTGATAAGCAACTTCAGCAAAGTCTCAGGATATAAAATCAATGTGCAAAAATCACAAGCATTCCTATACACCAATATCAGACTTAAAGAGAGCCAAATCAAGAACAAACTGCCATTCGCAATTGCTACAAAGAGAATAAAATACCTAAAATAAAATACAACTTACAAGGAACGTAAGGGACCTCTTCAAGAAAAACTACAAACCACTGCTCAACGAAGCAAGAGAGGACACAAACAGATGGAGAAACATTCCATGTTCATGGTTAAAAAGAATCAATATCGTGAAAATGGCTATATTGCCCAAAGTAATTTACAGACTCAATGCTATCCCCATCAAGCTACCATTGACTTTCTTCACAGAACTGGAAAAATCCACCATGAACCTCATATGGAACCAAAAGAGAGCCCACATAGCCAAGTCAATTCTAAGCAAAAAGAACACAGCAGGGGCATCACACTACCGGATTTCAAACTATACTACAAGGCTACAGTAATCAAAACAGCATGGTACTGGTACCAAAACAGAGCTATAGACCAATGGAACAAAACAGAGGCATTGGAGGCAACACAACATATCTACAACCATGCAATCTTTGATAAACCTGACAAAAACAAGCAATGGGGAAAGGATTCCCTGTTTAATAAATGGTGTGGGGAAAACTGGCTAGCCATGTGCAGAAAGCAGAAACTGGACCCCTTCCTGACACCTTACACTAAAATTAACTCCAGATGGATTAAAGACTTAAACATAAGACCTGGCACCATAAAAACCCTAGAAGGAAATCTAGGCAAAACTATCCAGGACATAGGAGTAGGCAAGGACTTCATGAACAAAACACCAAAAGCATTGGCAACAAAAGCCAAAATAGACAAATGGGACCTAATGAAACTCCACAGCTTCTGCACGGCAAAAGAAACAGTCATTAGAGTGAATCGGCAACCAACAGAATGGGAAAAAATGTTTGCAGTTTACCCATCTGACAAAGGGCTGATATCCAGAATTTACAAAGAACTCAAACAGATTTACAGGGAAAAAACAAACAAGCCCATTCAAAAGTGGGCAAAGGATATGAACAGACACTTTACGAAAGAAGACATATATGAGGCCAACAATCATATGAAAAAATGCTCATCGTCACTAGTCATCAGAGAGATGCAAATCAAAACCACATTGAGATACCATCTCACGCCAGTTAGAATGGCGATCATTAAAAAATCTGGAGACAACAGATGCTGGAGAGGATGTGGAGAAATAGGAACACTTTTACACTGTTGGTGGGAGTGTAAATTAGTTCAACCATTGTGGAAGACAGTGTGGTGATTCCTCAAGGCCTTAGAAATAGAAATTCCATTTGACCCAGCAATCCCATTACTGGGTATATATCCAAAGGACTATAAATCGTTCTACTATAAGGACACATGCACATGAATGTTCATTGAAGCACTGTTTACAGTAGCAAAGACCTGGAACCAACCCAAATGCCCATCGATGATAGACTGGATTGGGAAAATGTGGCACATATACACCATGGAATACTATGCAGCAATCAAAAACGATGAGTTCGTGTCCTTTGTAAGGACATGGATGAAACTGGAGAACATCATTCTCAGCAAACTGACACAAAAACAGAAAATGAAATACCACATATCCTCACTCATAGGTGGGTGAGGAAAAATGAGAACACATGGACACAGGGAAGGGAGTACCACACATTGGGGTCTATTGAGGGGAATGGGGAGGGACAGCACGGGGTGGGGAGCTGGGGAGGGATAGCCTGGGGAGAAATGCCAAATGGGAGTGAGGGGCAGGAAGGCAGCAAAACACACTGCCATGTGTGTACCTATGGAACTATTTTGCACGTTCTGCACATGTACCCCAAAACCTAAAATGCAATAAAAAAGAAAAAAATAAATAAATAAAAATTAAAAAAAAAAGAATGAAACTGTGTCATTCACAGCAATCTTGATGGAACTGAAGATCAGGTGTCAAGTGAAATAAGCCACATACTGAAAGACAAATATCACAAGTTCTCATTCATATGTGAGAGCTTAATAAAAAAGGTGATCACATGAAGGTAGAGAGTGGACTGGTAGAAGAGACTGGCAAAGTTATATGGGTAAGAAGGGGGAAATGAAGAGATGTTGATTAATGGGCACAAAAATCCAGACAGAAGGAATAAGTTCTAATGTTTGATAGAAAAGTAGGTGACTACAGTTAACAACAACATATTGTATTTTTCAAAACAGAAAGAACTTGAAATGAACCTAGCTTCCTCCAACTTACAGTTAATGGCTATTCTGAACTATACTGATCTGTTAACCTCATCTACATTCTTAAGAGAGAATAAACTGATGTTATCACACATTCTTACAAATACTATATTAGACATTTAATTTACCTCTACAAATAAAATCATACTACTATTCTTCAAAACAAAACAAAGACATAGATCAATTAGTACTTCTATTTTAAAAAAATTTTTTTGGTTGAGTGGTCTTGCCAAGGTCAGAGAAGGGCTGCTGGCGTGAGCCCTAGCTGGGTCGTGCGGCTGAGAGTGAAGGGGGAAAGAAGAAGCGATACTCCAAGGGTTAAGGCTACCTTTCCAGATAGTCCCACAGCTAACTCAGCAGTCTCCAAGGGCATTTGCATCACCTGTGAAAACACTGGATCCTTATACACCAGATGTTCTTGATAGCTCATCCCATCATTCCCCCTCTGCACAAAAGTTGCTATACCAGCAGACAACCAAGACAACTACTGAGCTTCTTTTCATTATCAAGTAGATATTATATCACTGCCAGCAAAACAGCACAAAAAGTATCTCTTCACAGTACCACTACCAATTGGGACTATGCTAAATAAATCAGCTTGCCTAGATGAGAACCCCTTCTCTTCTTGGATAGCCAGGATTTGAAGGAGATAATCTGACCTGTGCCACTGGTAAGTGACTAATACTTTTACACACTGAACTGGTCGTGGAAACTGAGATGTATTCTTTGTAAATGAAGAATATTCAACATAATCTTGAAGAACTGCACAGTGGTGTGGGCCACAAGCATACTTGCTTGTGTGTTATGGACTGAAAGACAAAGTAACCTTGGTGAAAGGATTTTTCATCTCATTTCTATTTGCCAGTGTTAGTCAGTGTTCTGCTGGCATAGATTATTACCTTTTTCTGGTTCCTTACTCTGTTTTATTCCGATGGGTCCTGGAAATCCCTCTCCTGACCACTTGACAGAATCAGAAAGTGAGGAAGAAGAAAACATGAGCTACCTCAATGAGAGTTCTGGGGAAGAGTGGGATTCCTCTGAAGAAGAGGACTCCATGGTACCCAACTTATCGCCTCTTGAGAGTCTTGCCTGGCAGGTGAAGTGCCTTTTAAAATATTCTACAACTTGGAAACCTTTAAATCCTAATTCCTGGTTGTATCATGCTAAATTCTTGGATCCAAGCACGCCAGTCCATATACTTTGAGAGATAGGTCTAAGACTCTCCCATTGTGTCCCCATACTGGAACCGATTCCTGAATGGCCCCCTCTGGCCTCTTGTGGAGTCCCACCTTTTCAGAAGCCCCTTACAAGTCCCAGCTGGCTCTCTAGAGATCATGCCACTCTAAATGGAGCACTGCAATTTGCCACCAAACAGCTAAGCCGAACATTGAGTAGAGCCACTCCCATACCTGAATACCTAAAACAGATCCCTAATTTATGTGTTTCTGGATGTTGCTGTGGCTGGCTAACTAAAACAGTTAAGGAAACAACTCATACTGAACCCATCAACACTACTTATTCTTATACTGACTTCCAAAAAGCAGTTAACAAACTCCTAACTGCATCACTATAAAGATCTACCGTTTGCTCTCATATCTCTGATGTTGCAAATTGAGAAAGTGGTACAAAGTCATTACACAGCCCACCAATGCCTTCTCAATCAAACTATTTTATGCCCTGGTAAGCCAATGAGGATACCCTTTGACAAATCCTATGGATAAAATGATAGTATCAAGGCCGGACTTGGTGGTTCACACCTGGAATACCAGCACTTTGGGAGGCCAAGGCAGGCAGATCACCTGAGGTCAGAAGTTCAAGACCAGCCTGGCCAACATGGTAGAACCCATCTCTACTAAAAGTACTTACCACAAGCTTTAGAAGCAGCAATACAGATTTCTTCTGCAACATATTCCCCAGATGGAAATGTGAGATAATCTGCCTCAGCTTTCCCAAGGGAATGGTAAAGATACACCTGAAGAACCGGATCTATTTGCTTCATAGAATTGACATTTCCAGAAATATCACCATTCTGATTTATAGAAGACGTGGATGTTCCCTCCATTTCTGTCATTGTAAGGCAAGCCATTCCCAGGCAGAGTCTTTTTCAGAACATTTACCTGTAAGAGAAAACAATGAAGTTACTAATGGGCCGGATGAAGTGGCTCACACCTATAATCCTAGCACTTTGGGGGTCCAAGGTGGCAGATAGATTGAGCTCAGAAGTTGAAGACAAGCCTCAGCAACATGGTGAAACCTCATCTCTACAAAAGTATATAAAATACACACACACACACACACACACAGATTAGTCAGGCATGGCAACAAACACTTGTAGTCCTAACTACTCAGGGAGCTGAGTGGAAGAATTGCTTGAGCCTGGGAGGTCGAGTCTGCAGTGAGCCGCCACACTCCACTACACTCCAGTCTGGGTGATACAGCAAGACCCTGTCTCAAAAATTAATTAATTAATTAATTAAAGTTACTGATATAAATAATATTGATAAGGCATCCTTCATATACAAAGAAGGACTGCTCCTTGACCACAATGGCTGTCAAATCCATTAACTGAATATCATGTACTACCATGTACAAAGCACAATGCAAGAAATCACAGATTTTAAACTTCCTGTGGACATTTAAAGGATTATAAAATTCCAGTTAACAACCTAATTGAGGACGATGATATAAATTCCTAACATGAACAAAACAAATAACCATTAAACTCAGTTACAGACAACAGAAGAAGAGATCTCAAATTAAGAGAAGGGGGGTCCAGAAGGCTGACTAGAGGTATCTGGTACTCACCTCCTCCACAAAGAAGAACCAAAATAGCGAGTAATCACACTCTGAATAGGTCATCTAAGAGAGAACACTGGAATTCAACAGAGAAGTGAAAGGAAACACCTAAAGCAAGGAAGGAAGTGAGGCAGTCTGCTTGACCAGGATCAGCCAGAAGCCTAGAGAGCCTGCACAATGTGAATAAAGAGTAAGTGAGAGACTCCCAGTGGCCCACATTTTCACCATAAACTCCTGCAATCCCAGACATAAGAGAGCGCCTCAACTCTCATGGGCCCTGGGAGTAACCTAGGGAGCTGCCTGGAGACTGCACAATGACATTGCTTTAGCGAATAAGTTTACGCTGGTCCAACACACTCCCAAGTCCTAAGCAGCTACAACACAGTGCTATTTTTAAAGCCTAACTCCCACTAGCATGTATCCTGCCCTGGACCCCGAAAGCCCCTGAAATGCCACATCCCTTAGAGCCCCACTGACATCCTCCACCCAGTCACCTCCACTACTGGCTGCTGCCTATGGAGCCAAAGCACAAGCCAGTGGCAGTGACCCCACTCCTCCCAAGCAGAAGGACTGCCATACATTTGTATGTGCCCTGAGGGCAAGCTCTATGACCCACAGCTGCAACCATGGCAGGTTGCTGCCTGCTGCCAGGTGCCAAAATACAAATTTGCATTCACCCTGAGGACAGCTCTATCACATCTGCAGCCTCCATCTAGAGCTGCAGTGCACACTCCCCAGCTACCTCCCAACTGTTCCCACTGAGAGCAACCCCACCATCCCCAGCATCAGGGCCACAGCAAAGTCACTGCCACCCCCACCTGAACATTCCATCAGGAGACTGGAAATTATCCTGCTCCTGCCCATCACAAACAGCATGTGCTCATACCACTGAAGGATCTGAGGATACTCTCACCCTGCCCAGCTCAGCATGCCACTCCCAAGGACTTAAGCATGTTATCTGGGGTCCTTGGGATCACACCACTTTGTTCACATCCAATGTCAACTGAGCATTCCACCTGGAGGTCTGGGGATATGGCCCACCTAACCTGCCTCCACCACAGCTGGTACCCACTCACATTTGCCACCTGACTTGCCTACGCAGTCTATCACAGTCATCACCAACATAAGCCCAAACAACTGGAGAGCCAGAAGGTTATCCTACCACCACTACTGACATGGCCCATGTCATGCTCACTGCCCAAGGGCCTGTGGACCTACCCAACTGCCCAGCCCATCACTACCACTGCTGGCACCCAAACAAGTCACCTGTAGACCCAAAAATTGGCCTGCCTGGACTCACTAATACCATTTCCAAAGTAAGTCACCCTGTGGCTAATGTACAGGCATGTTTGTCCCACTGCTGCCACCACTGAAGACTGAGGATCAGTCTAGCTGGTGTCACCATTCCCAGCGAAAGTTCACCACAGTCTCCACTAACAACTATTCACTAAACCACTGAGGAAATCACAGATGCCACTGATGCTGTTTACAGGGGAAAAAAGTCTTACAGAGACTACACTACTAAATATACCCAGATTCAAAGCCAAAGTGCCCTAGGCAACCAATACTCCAGATAAATCTTCAGGAAAAAGTCCTACCCTATGAAAGCAAATTAAAAAAAAAATGGAAGTTACCGTTACACCAGATGTGTAGATATCAAACTAAGGGCGCTGGAAACATGGAAATATGAGGAAATATGACATCTCCAAAGGATCACAATAATTTCTACCAAAAAATTCCAGTGCAGAAGAAATTCACAAAATGTCAGAAAAAGAATTAAAAATAATGATATTAAAGAAGCTCAGGAGATACAAAAGAATACAGATAAACAATACAAAGAAACCAGAAAAACATTTCAGGATATGAATGAGAAATTTACCAAAGAGAAAGATAACATTTAAAAAGAAAACCAGAGGCCAGGGGTGATGGTTCATGCCTGTAATCCGAGCACTTTGGAAGGCCAAGGTGAGCGGATCACCGGAGGTCAGGAGTTTGAGACCAGTCTGACCAATATGGAGAAACCCCATCTCTACTAAAAATACAAAATTAGCCGGGTGTGGTGGTACATGCCTGTAATCCTAGCTACTCAGGAGGCAGGAGAATTGCATGAACCAGGGAGGTGGAGGTTGCAGTGAGCTGAGATAGTGCCACTGTACTCCAGCCTGGGCTACAAGAGCAAAACTCCATCTCAAAAAATAAAAAATAAATAAATAACTAGAATCCTGAAATTGAAGAATTAATTTAATGAAATAAAAAAATACATTCTATAACATCTATAATAGACTAAATTGAGCAGAAGAAAGAATTTCAAAACTTGAAGACACGTCTCCCCACTAGACAAAAATAAAGAAAAAAGAATGAACAAAGCCTATATGACATATGGGATATCATAAAGCAACCTAGTATTAGAATTTTCAGTATTCTAGAAGACAGTGAAAATATAAAAGGGATAGAAAACCTGGTTAGGTGGCTGGGCGCGGTGTCTCATGCCTGTAATCCCAGCACTTTGGGAGGCCGAGGCAGGCAGATCACAAGGTCAAGAGATCAAGACCATCCTGGCCATGGTGAAACCCTGTCTCTACTAAAAATACAAAAATACCATGGTGGCACACACCTGTGGTCCCAGCTACTCGGGAGGCTGAGGCGGAAGAATCGCTTGAACCCAGGCGGAGGTTGCAGTGAACCGAGAGTCCCTGAGAGTGCCACTGCACTCCAGCCTGGTGACAGAGTAAGACTCTGTCTCATAAAAAAAAAAAAAGAAAAGAAAAGAAAACCTGGTTAATGAAATAATAACTGAAAACTATCCCAGTATAGCAAGAGATTCAGACATCTAGATACAGAAGCTCAGAGATCTCCAAAAAGACAAAATTCAAAAAGACCTTCTCCACAACACATTAGTGTCAAACTGTCAACAAAGACAAAGAGAATTCTAAAAACAGTAAGAAAAAAGTGTCTAGTCACTTCTAAGGGAAGCTTCATCAGACTAACAGCAGATTTCTCAGCAGAATCATTACAGGCCAGGAGAAGATGAAATGATATATAAAAAGTGCTGAAATTAAAAAAAAAAAAAAACCTGCAAGCCAAGGATACTATACCCAGCAAATATTCATTAAGCAAAGGAAAAATAGTCTTTCTGAGGCAAGCAAAAGCTGAGGGAATTCAACACCACTAAACCAGACCTACCAGAAATGCCTGAGGGAGTGCTACATCTGGGAAGTGAAAGAACAATATCAGGCCAGACACAGTGGCTCAAGCCTATAATCCTAGCACTTTGGGAGGCTGGGACCAGCAGACTCCTTGAGCCCAGGAGTTCAAGACCAGCCTTGGCAACATGGGAAAACCCCACCTCTACAAAAAATAACAAATAATTAGCCAGGCATGGTGGCGTGATTCTGTATTCCCAGCTACCTGAGAAGCTGAGGCAGGAGGATCACCTGAGACCATGGAGGCTGAGGTTGTAGTAAGCCATGATGGCACCACTGCACTCTAGCTTGGACAACAGAAAAAGAGCAAGACCCTGTCTCAAAAAAAGAAACAAACAAACAAAAAGAGAGTTACTATCATCATGAAAAACAGATGACAAAATTACCAAACCCACTGGTAAAGCAAACACAGAGACAAGAAAGGATCCAAATGTTCTCATTATAGAAAACCAACAAACCACAATGCTAAACAATATGAGAGAAAGAATGGAACAAAGGACTTACAAAACAACCAGAAATCAATTAATAAAATGACAGGAATAAGCCTTCACATATCAAGAATAAATTTGAATGTAAATAGATTAAAGTTTCACTTAAAAGATAGAGAATGGCTGAATGGATTAAAAAACATGACCCAACTATATGCTACTTAGAAAACCTCATCTCACCTCTAAAGATACACATAGACTGAAAGTAAAGGGATAGAAAAAGATATTCCATGCAAAGGTATTTCAGATACAACAGTATCTGAAACACAAATTTTATTTGTGTTTCATTAAGACACAAACAGTAAAGAGACAAGGTAATTATATAATGACAAAGGGATTAATTCACCAAGAGGATATAATAATTCTAGAACTTCCAATGTATCAAAACAATGACAACAAAGCCTGGCAATGACTATAACAGATATAAAACTGCAAGATATTTGGAGTTTATCTGCAACTGGATATGCAACTTTAAAGAATTCATTTGTTCAAAAATACATAATTTATTGTAATCTATTACACTGTCTCTGTTATTACAGTTAATATTAAATGCAGCAAAAGCAGTTATAAGAGGGAAGTTTATAGCAATAAACACCTACATCAAAAAGAAAAAAAGACGTCAAACAACGT